TATGGCGGCTGATATTTCTTGGTCTACTGGAAAGCCTTTAAATTACCCCTCCTTCATAGCAAATTTCGTTCCGATTTGTCAAAAATACGACGCCTCGGGTTGGCCTTCTGAAACCATCAAAGCTATAATGAAGGCGATTACTCCTCATCTTCCAAAATATAAAAGAGCCAACAAGAATAAGTCTAATGATGTCTTCAAAGAATTGATTACGACTTCGGGGCTACCAGAATTCCGTGAAAACGCTTCCGATAGCGAATAGGAACTCCTCTGCAGTACAATCGTTTATAAAGTAGCCGTACCTATTTTCAGTGGCTTCATGGTAAGCCGCCGCTAGCTGCTCTTTTGTTATACCATCAGCGTGGTCAGCTGCAATTTCTCTGACGTCGCGCTCGTGAAGACCTCTCATAAGCACAGTACAGCCGGTATTTCGTCGAATATACTTAGGGACGTCATAGTAGCTTTGCGCTAAGTATATGGCTGTGACATTCTTATGTCAACTTGCTGAGAAATACTTTTGATTGGGTTTAAGCTTTTTGAATCGAACCAAATATCATCAAAGACTACTGTCTCGGGATTAGTGTCCAACTCCTCCACTGGAATTGCATCATCAGGCTCTCTTAATTCAGCACATTCTTCCAGGCCGATGCTTTCGTATAACACTGATAGAATCTGATATTTTTCCTGGTCGCGACTTGTTATGCAAATAGTTGATTTAGGGCAATCAAGCCAACGCATAATTATGTTAATTAAAAGGTTCGTTTTACCGGAATTAGTAGGGCCTACGATCAGATAATGGCTTTCGGGCATCATCTAATTTTGGCGCTTTGATTTTTTAGAGGTGAGTGGGTCGAAATTTATGAGTGTCATATTATATTATATCACATCATACTAATTATAACACATCAGACTAACAGACCAATTTTTTCTGCATCTATATATAATCCTGCGAGAAAATGGAAACTGCAAGTGCACCTCCAGTCGAGCCAGTGGATGCTCCTAGGCCAGTACCACAGATATATCCTGGTTTAAAACGTGAATATGAATACCAAGGAGTAGAAGACGCTCTTTCACCCCGTTCATCAATCGAAACGAGCATCTTTTGCCTTGTTCGCATTTTAAACATTGAGGCAGAGCTCCGCCAAGAGCGTGACGCTCGTCATAAGCTGCGTAAGAAATACACACGCATTACTTCGACACTCGACACCTTATCTGCTGCATCGAGTGCCTTTACAGTCGTGACAGGAACTGGAGGTATTGCTCTCACTCTATCTGGTGTGTGCGCCCCGGCTGGGGCCGCTCTTGAAGCTCTTGCTGTCGCTGGCAAGATGAACTCAGGTGTTGGGCGTGTTGTTTGTAAAAAGCTCGATAAAAAGGCTAAAAAGCACGACCGCATAGCCCAAGCTGCTGCGACGATTCTGATGACTGTTGGTAATATTACGTCACGTGCTCTCAGTGACAGCCGAGCCTCACATGATTAGTTTGAACAGGTTCTAGATCAAATGCGGCGTTTTAACGAGCGTAATCGCGTCATTCAACATGAATTCGACGCTCCAAATAGAAACAGGCTGTCGATGTAGCTTCTCTACTCAAAGAGATGAAAACGACAAATAAGAACTTAGAGCTTAAAAAAAAGAAGCTGTTGCCGCCGCTGCTGAAAGCGCACACCGTGAAGGTGAAGCTCAAGCTTTCAAATAAATCGCGGGTCTGGCTGGAGGCTCGTCATAGATTTCTCTCGCGATCAAATATATATCCAGTAATTAATGAAAAAAATTTTCTATTATATAAATTGTAAGTATATAAACGTCGCATCAAACTAAACATCGCATCAAACTAAGCATCGCATCAAACTAATGGGAACATTAGTAATCGGTGGAACTGATGATGGTTAGGGATCTGGAAAAGCAGGACCACCAGGGCCTAGAGGCCCAAGAGGAGTTAAGGGAGTTAAGGTGACACAGGAGCTGCGGGGGCTGAAGGAGATACGGGTATTAGAGGACCAAAGGGAGAAAAAGATAATACAGGAGCTACATGGGCTCAAGGAGATACGGGTCTTCGAGGACCAAAAGGAGAGAAAGGTGATGAGGGTCCTAGAGGAGATGACAAAATTTATGGGACCAATGGAAGCGATGGTGCGCCCGTGGGCACTGGAACTCAAAGGCCTTAAGGACCTCAAGGACCTCAGGGACCTCAAGGACCTCAAGGGCAACAAGGCATTAGAGGCCTAACAGGTCCAAGAGGAGAGCCGGGGTCTACAGAGGTCGCGTTACCTCGAGGGCCTCAAGGCCCTAAAGGAGATACTGGAGCCACAGGGCCTCAGGGGCCTTCAGAACGTCAAGGACCTCAAGGACAGGCAGGAGTTGATGGGCTTAAAGGAGACCAAGGAGAATAACCTGTTTTGAACTCTCCTAATGGATTTTACCCCCCAGGTATTAGCGGAGTAAATGTAACTTTAGTAACGTTTCTTACTGGAAAAACACTTGAAATAATAAAATAGCATTATTAAACATTTCGTTTGAACGATCTTAAAACGAGTGGTTCAACATTAGATCTACTGTGTTTGGACAAAATTTAGGGCCTTATGTTAGTTTCGTACATGATACCACAAACAAATTGATGTCATATGTTAGTACAATACCCATTAACTGGACGCGAAGATATGAGGTACACTATTTAGAGTATTCCTAATTCTAAAACAATAAATTTTCACTTTATATTTATGGTGTTTATCACTTCAGTTGTGTCTTCTCACACAAACATTAAAATATCTAACTCAGCTGAAACTTCGGTTCATGAATTTGAATTTGAAGCAGAAGTATACTTACGACAAAATAGAGAGAAAACTTTTGGAAAATTTTAACTAGAAGATAATTCTAGGGCTGAAAATATAGTCATATCTTCTGGGAACTATTCAGACGTAGATAAACCTACGCGTGAGGCTCTCAAAGCTTTGCTAATTCCGGCAAAAAACTACCACGCCCGTCGATTAAAGCATCATAGAAGACGTGAAAAACACAAAAAGCGACTAGAAATTGCAGTAGATGTGTACACTCAAGTTGGTATTTCAGTCACTGGAAAAAGAGGTTCAGATTGGACCAATGTCGCGATGTGTGAAAAAGGTGAAGAAGATTCTTCTACAATCACCATCGAAATCGCTGGATTATACCGAATATCATTAAGTGGAAAATGTTTTACAAGTGCAGGAACGCTACGAGTACTTCAAACTCCTAGCAAATTACTTGTATTAAGTGAAACAAAAACACATCGTATTGGTGATATTAACTCTGAATGTTGCTATAGCGATTTATAGATGTAGACTTACCTACTGATGCAACATTAGTTGTCCAACAGATGGGAACTGCTAGAGTAATTATCACATTCACTATAGAAAGTACAATAACCGAATATTCAACGGTGTTTGACAAAGATTTGCTACACGAAGCGCTAGATGATTCCGAAGGCTTCCCTTCATTGTCTAGAACTGAATAAGAACACATCACGTTTGGCAAAGGTAGTGAACCGGCCACTGGAGGCGTCGGAGTTTTAGTTTTTGGAGGAATTGCACTTAGAAACTGAATTGCGTTATAGCGTATTAACGCTGGGTCGCTCATATTTCCATACGTAGCTTCCCAACTTACAGAATTTGTTATAACAAGTGGTCTACTTTCTATTACGTCATTAGGCTTAATAGGTCTGCGCTTAAAGGGTACCGAAGGAGGTTCAGGTGGAGCTGTGTTCGTACGCTTTCTTGATGTAGATGCTAGTGGTTGAAAAGCTTCAAGGAATGAGTTTAGAGGTCTTCCATTTATTACACCCTGTTTATATAGTTGCAGAATCTCTCTAACAGTGTCCATCTCGATTCTATATAATATATAAATATTATTCTTCTAGTTGTATCGTACCTGTTTGTATTAGCAGCCTAGTTTGTAATTTAAGATGTTCTTCTCTTTGTCTTATTATTATATTATTCAAATTTTTCTCTCTTTCTCTTCTTTATTTTTGCTCTTGTCTTTTCATACGTACTTTATTGGATTCACTATTCATCTTACCACGTACCCTATTATACGCTTCTTCTAAATAATAGACCCAGACGGCCGGCCGCTGGGGCGCGGGAGGTGGGCCGGCCGTCTTTGGCTCCTGCCGTTGTCCTGGGTTTGACCTTCGCTGTAATTATGCTAGCATATTTACAAGAAGTACGTAAGCGAGCTAGGGCTGGGGTGCTTAGATTTGTGTATACTCCTTCTCAAACTGTGAGGTGCGCCAGAAACGACGCTTTCTCAAGGTGAAGTGCGCCAGCGGCAACGCTCTGTATACTACTGCTACGACTAAAAAGGCGACCGCAAATCTTACCATTGGACATGGTCAGTGAGCTCTATGCTCACCAAAAGCATAAGGATGGGGCATTTACATGTTTTCAAAATGCATTTGCTTTGTGTTTGTATGATACTTCCCTTTCAGTATGTGAATAGCAAAGCCATATTGCAGCAGCTTTGGGAGAAGCTAAGAACAATGCACACTGTTTTATGTACTTATGAATGATGTGTATGTTCTCATTGGTATCTGTTACATCCTGCGTTATTAAATCATACTACCCAATTGCAAATGATTGTTTAAAAGATTGGTATTCTCTTTGAGCATTGCCTGTATTATCATGTTCTATGCAGACTACTTCTTGCACACAGGAAGAAAGATGATGCATTAATTTTTTGTAGTGTATTGTATTGTTCTTTTTACTTTTCATTGCAAAAAATGACGTGCTTCATCTTTCTATTGCTACCAAGGAACAATACTATGATTATGACAATGGATAAAACTGTTTTGATTTGATTATGGTATAAGACTTTGCAAACACAAGTAGTAATCACAGACAAAATTTAAAACTGTCCAAAATTTGCGGATTTTTTTCCTGTTCAGATCATGGATAGGGTTTTCCCATATTCCTTCATATATACTGAAAGCAGGTAATCGCTTTTCTGAGAGTTAAATTTTATAAAATTTTATAGGATGAGGAAAGATCCTAGTGATGGGGAATCATGTCAAAGAAATACTCTAAAAACCTAATTTTAGTCAAAGATGCTTTTCGCAAAATGTGTCGTGGAAAATTTAAAAGCTTATGTAGAAAATGCTGTGTGTTTGACATTTTTATTCATTGTTGAAATGTATCTGTAATACAAAACTACGTGTAAACAAGTTGTAATTAACCATATTATCATATAAAGTAAATGCACATATTATCATAATCTATAAAAAAAAAGTAAAATGATGAAGTTTTATTGCTGCTAAGAATAAAATATTATTGACAAATCAAATGATTTACTGAATTACATTATCTTTGACAATTGACAAATCAAGCCGTAAGATTTTCTTTTGAAGTTGCATAAAGTTATTGCGTGGATTCCGCAAGACAATGCTGGTGATTGCTACCTATCACGCCACTTGTACTGCCCGCCAACCAGAGATGACCGCGATTGCATTAAAATAAAATTAATAAAATCTTTTTATCATGTGTTTCCAAAGGAGAGGCAAACCTCGACATACTTTGTAATTAAAAGAAATCTTGAAAAATCAATCTATTGTAAATCTTGACATTTAGTTTTTCTGTTGGGACCTGTTAATCCTTTGGTTAATTTACCAATAAATTGATGCCTTGTAGGAATCAGAAATGTCTGGAGTATGATATCGAAATAAAAATTAAGAATCATTTTGTCTCACTCAAAATGGATGACGATTTTAGAAAATGACGTCAGATATTGAGTTTATGAATTATTATGTTTCTAATCATTTATGATTTATCAAACATCAAGCACAGCATAAAGTACCATTTCTTCAATTTAAATGCTTATGATTGTACCATGATTGCAAATTATAAATTAATATTGAAAACATTTCATTTTTTTGAATTTTTCCTTAGTACAGACTACAGCTAAAATGAAGTTTTAATCTTTCTCATGACATATATCAGTGAAGAATCATAACCAGATCAGTGCGGTATCCCTCAGAAGGTTTTAGTAATTCCGAAAATCTACTGTTATGTAACGTTAAAGTATCGTTTGCTTCACATTATTTCATATTATAAAATAAACACAATGAAACACGAGCGCTGATTGGTCTAGACCTGTGTTTGCCATAGTCTGGGAAAAACGATTTGAGCTCAACCAATCAAATCAATCAACCACTTAAAGAGAATTTGCAAATTAATCATCACTACACGTTAAAAGAATATTATAACGGTGTTTTTCTTTCACATTATTGTTATTTTTATAAAAAAATAAAAGATGTTTTTCGTGTTTGCACTGGCTAATGCAAATCTTGGAGACGCTTGTGAGAACTATTGAGCATGTATAACCTTGCACTGATCTGCTCTCGAGTTCTCCCAAAGATCTCCTCGATTTGCATAAGCCTGTGCAAAAACATGCAGTAAATATCTTTTATTTATTAATTTGTGTACGAATTACTTCATTTGTAAATAACATCCTTGCTTCATTAGACAAAATATTTACGAAATGCTAAAACGTCAATGGTTTTAACATAATCTGTTTAATATAGAATACATTTACTATCCTACATCAGAACATGAGACATTTTCATTTCATTATGCCTAAGAAAAAGGCTTAACGATTTTCTTTACCCTTTTTTTTAGAAAGAACTCTTATAATTCGATCAAAGCTTTGTAATCTTTGTCGTTAGGTCCTTACACCTCAACAACATAACGACATAGCGACATGATTGCAGATGGTGTTATAACATTTAACTAAAATACATGGAATGCTACTTGTAATGCAAAACCTTAATAATTTTTTGAAGCCGTGATTTTACCCCAGAAACGCGAGATTTTACCCCAGAAATGCGAGATTTCACCCCAGACACGCTTGTGAAATCAATCAATTATTACTCCACGCAGGAGTCTCAAAACACTAAGCACGCGTGTCTTGGGTAAAATCTCGCGTATCTGGGTAAGATTTGGGCTTTTGGCTTTAATTATTAGCTTTGGGTAGCGTTCCATGTATTTTAGTTCAATGTGTTATAACGACTACGCTTGGTAACCTGGCAAATATGTGGCTGAGTAGTAACGACCTAGCGTCAACGACGGTGTGTTACACACATATCTACATAACTTCCAGGAAGTGTTATCTTGCCTATACTAAATTAGTTGGTATATGCCTGAGCACAGGCTAAAACAATAGTCAAATAAATTGAAGTGCAAAGTTTGTTTCGCCATAATGTTTTTGATGAACGTACTAAAACTACATTAAGTTACATGATAAGTTGCGTCGATTTGTAATAACTCTTTTTCTATCTTTTTCATTCTCTCTTACATTGAGGAAGAGCACTTACCATTATGTTTGCTTCTTTTTGTGAGGTTTTGTTGATGATGAAAAATTCGTAGAAGTTCAAAATGGGATCTTAAAAATTTTCAAGAAAAACAATAAATAAATGTTTTTGTAATGAAGTATTCTCTACTTCATTTTTCAAAATGCCAAAACTAAAATTTATCAAAAGTGATAATTTAGGAGATTTTGCAGGATATGAGTTCAAATTTCTTTTAAGTAATAGTCTAATCAAGCAGGAGACATTGTTCATTGAGAGTTATTCGCCTTACCAAAATAGGAGGGAAGAGCGAGACTTGTTCAATTTACTCAATATGGCCAGATGGTTACCAGTAGAATCAAATTTACCAAAGTTTAGTTCTTTTAAACTTATGCAGTAATGGCATCTGCATATATTGCAAACAGATGTTGCAATAATAGATTTGAATTAATTGCAGGTGAGGTTCTAACGAGATTCAAGTCTAAACTTAGTAAAATGCATGGTTCGGTTCAGTGTATTTTTGCTTATACGTACTGAATCCCAGAAAGCTCGAGACAGGAGGTAAAAGAGGCATTTTTGTGACATGTGATAAGAGGAGTCCAGCTTACCTAGTATATCACTGAGAAACCTCGAAAATAGAGCGAGTAAGGTAAAATTTTTGATCGAGTCGATAAATTTGTGATTGACAAAAGTAAAACGGATAATGAAATATGCCCATCACTTTGTACTATAAACCTGCTGCAATTCAGAGCAAGAAAATAAAAAATTGGAGGGAAATTTTTACGATCAATTTGAGAATACAGGAAGGCACTCATCTCAAGTCGAAAATAAGCCAGCCAGCATAGCATAACTGCTAACACCATTAAGCGTGCAGTTGATTAATGTTATAGATTAAATAACGTAGCAAATTCTTAATTAGAGGCGGATCAACCGAATTAGTCTTGGTGATTACCATGAGTTATCAATTTTTACAAAGAGTTATCATCTTTCCAATAAGATAAGGTTTCAAGCTTTTGTAGTGCAAACCAATATATTTGTAAAAACATCTGTATTTTATATTGCGATCTAACGGAAGTATCTTGCTGGAAGGCGTGTCTTCTTAGAAATTGCTTCATAAAAGTGAGAGACACTAACATTAAAGATTCCGACACGAGTACACCTTCTGTCAATATATCTATACTGTGGTCGGCATATTCAGTTGACAGGGATGTTAATTTTGAGCAAGTTAAGGGTTATTTAAATTATAGGACCAAGAACGGAGAAAAGATCGTTTACAAATGAAATACAGTGTAAGCCATTGTATGGTCTCAAACAAAGCGGCAGAAACTGGAATGAAACATTAAATAATTTACTTGACCGGGAAAAGGTTTAGGCAATCACACACAGACCCTTACGTATACTTTATGTTTGTAGATGGAGCCTTGTTGAAAGATTGAAATGGTTTTACTTTCTATTTGTGAAGCAGAGCGTAAATTTTTATAACAATTATGTTGTAATTTTGGCATAGTGGAAGAAAACAGAAGCGCAAAAATCAATAAAAATAACCAGGGACCCATAAAATTAGCAATTTAAAGGACGCAACTTTTAACAAAAACGTCTAAACACACATGGAGATCAAATACCATTTCAATAGAAGCGAAATACGGCGCGGCTTAATGAGCTTAAGTTTTTCTGCAAGCAAAGACAACTTATAAAATATTTCACAAGAAGATAACGAGCAATCATTTAGATTGGGTAGTGATAGAAATGGTTTTCCAATATCAGAAGAAGGATCCCTGATATCCTTAAAGAATAGGAAATTGTTTTACTTTCTGCATATAAACAGAGTGTACAGCTTTAGCTTGGGTGCAGTGATTTAAGCATAATGGAAAGGAACAGTGGCGCGAAAATCAAAGCACACAACCACGGAGGAATAATATCAGCAAAGAAACCAGCTTATCAAAAAAAGAACGTCCAAAGACATAGAAATTAAAAACCATTCATTTGAAGCAAAGTGCAGGTAGCGTGGAACAATGAACTTAATTAATTGCCAACGAAGACAACTTAGTAAATATAATTACAAAGACAACAAGTAAAGTTAAATTAGATCATTTTCAACATTTTCTATGTAGCCAAAATGACACTGCCATATGTATAAGTGTAAAGTAAAGTGTTTGCCAAGCCACGTCTTTATAATGAAATAAGGAAAGTATAGTAAATTGTGTAATAATGTCACCCTATCATTGTGAACTTAATCTTAAACATGGATTTCAAAATAGCAAATACTATGGTGAATGGTGATAATAACAATGTAATAGTTCTTAAAAAAACTGTTTTAACCAGAACACTAACCCAACAATTCAAAGGAACCGTTACTTACAGCTAGAAAGAGACACTATGCATTTCGGCAGACTACTCGTCATGTGTCAACGTGTGCTAAATGGGAACCTCCAAGCCATGCTATATTTATAACGTTACAAAAGGTCCATGTCATCCCTATTTTTAGAGATGACACTTAAAACAGAGACAGATTAAACACGTAATCCTTTTGTCGGCAAAGGACAGGATTAGTCAATTTAATTAATACCGACTCCATGACGCGAAGCTGGAATAACGAGCGATATTTTTTAATAATTCTAAAGTTTTCATCAGAATAACCATTGGCACAGCGAGTGTTGCTCGAAAGATGTTTTCCAATCGCTGAATCACATAGAATCGGATTTTCACTTTTACACCCACGTTTTGGTAGTTGTCGTAAAGTAACAGTTTTATTCCTGATAGAAGCTGATACATGCTGTTTTATTCTCTCACTCAACCTTTGAGAAGTCCTTCCTACATAGCAAGCATGACACTCACATTTAAACTCGTAGACTACATTGCTTGATATTTGAGCAGGGAGAGACTCTTTGGGAGTGGGTGGAAGAATAGTTCTTTTTGAGAATATAAAGACCACATTGCATGCAAAAAACAAACTCTCGGTGATATTTTTAGTTTCCTTCTCGATGTCATTAGAGGAAATACCCATCCAGGGGAGTTTAGGGAAAACAGGGCACTTGGCCGGTCCGAAAAGTTTATTCCGTTCATTGTTAGTGGATAAGAAAAGTTTGTCTAGCAACTTTTCCGGATATCCATTTAACACAAAATGAACTTAATCTCATGATAGATTGTTATCAACCAACCATGTAGCGTCTTTTATGTAAAATACCTGTATCAGCATGTGCTTACCTGTAGTTTTTGCAGTTTCTTGCAATGTAGAAGTTTTTATTGAATGTTATAAATAAACTTATCGGAAGCAACGCGAGTTTAGCCTCAAACAACAACTGCCACAAAATAAATGCACTAGCAAGTGTGAAAGCATGGATATTAACCATAGGTTTTAATAAAGGCATGTAAAACAGAGATACAAAAGCTTCGCAAGAGTTCAGCAATATATATATATGAAGTACATAAATGAGCAAAAGTTCCGTATTCGTGATTGTCCAGATTTGGTAAGCTCTGTTTGTTCAACTCAGGGTGCCATTTTTGAGATGTTGATATTTAGTCGTACAATAAAACATTTTCACTCTTTTAAAAACCCTTAGTATTCTACAAAACTTCACCAAGCATCCACCAGATAGCTACAAATCTTTTTTTACTAATCATCCCTCCATTAAGAATCGATAAAATCATCACCACGACTCTGTCAAGTACTTCTCTACTGAACTTGATGACATTATCAACTACATATTCCCGTAATCAGCATACGTTTACAATGGTTCATTCTCGTGAGAAGTTCTTCGGCATTTTCTGCACTTTTTACCCTTTTTAAATAACTGACAGGCTTTGAATTATCGCCTTCTTTACCAAATACGGGTGGGTTTGGCAAGCCTAGAAGCAACACACTGTGTTTCCTCCGATCTCGACATGGGTGTAAATTCATTAATGATGAAGTTAAGAATAGTTTTATTCGTATCATAAGACGTATCATTACGTATTATCACCTGAATTAATAACAATGTTGTACCAAGAATTTGGCCAATCTGAGAAAATGCAAACCTAATATTCAACCAAAATAAAAAATAACAGCCAAAAGAGTTTCTTGGCCTATACTTAGAGACGTTTATTCAATAAAGATGTGAAATGCGTGAAGTGGGGTTCACTTTAATCCCAAAAATAATTGAGAGTTATATGTTTATTATAGTTATACGTTTAGTATGGTTAGTATAGTTATACGTAACGTTATAGAGGAAGCTCACTTAAACTGATATAAATTTTTTATTGAGCCTGCTTGCACCCAATAATAAAATTCCAAATTTTTTTAGCCATTCCGATTTAGAAGAAATCTTAGATGGTCACGTACTAATGCATGGCACATAAGGTGAAACACACCCAGATTCTTAGATTCAAGTTATATACATGAATAGAATATACGATTGAATAATTATCATAGTGATGATACATAATTACATATTTCACTTGTTAATAACTCAACTCAATATTTGACTAATCAAATAAGCAAAATTGTGTGGTGAGAATAAAGATTCTAAACATAACGAGAAGTACGTTTCACTACTCATGAACTTTGAAAATTAAAATAAAGTTCAAACGCAAGATTCACAGAAATATAAGTTTCAAAGTTGCAGCAGAGGTCAGTGCAAATTGTTCAGGATTAGACATCTTAAAAACCTTAATTATAACTTAACAGCCGAAACTATCAAAAATCGTTTAAAGACAAAGAGGGCGAATTTATTAATCAGAATTTTTAGAAAAATGTTCAAGTGAGAAAAATCATAAAAAAACAGCGTTACCAATTGCCAAGAGAAAAAAACATGCAGTTAAAAAGAGACGGGAAATTCACCGGTATAGACAGGACCAAAACTAAAACGCTTGTGAATATTCATGTATTTAGCTCATTCCGAGTGATTTCTTTTGAAATTAAAATTACTAACAATTAAAAAATCAGTCTGGCAGAACTAAACAGATGAACATCCCCCCCCCCATCTCCTATGCAGTCAACGTTCTAGTTTCCTGTGCGTAGCCAACCTGCTTGTTTATAGTCCTGTTTATTGGTTTGTCTTTGTTGACTTACTTAGAAAATAATAAATTTGATAATGAAAATAATAAGGCTTGATTCAACATATTTGTCATAATCTACGGTACGATGCAACATTTCCAAAAGTTACTTTTATTTGACTTTGAATCACCTTTTCAATTTTTTTGTAAATTTTTTCGTTTGGTTGTTTTATAACACTTCTTTATGCAATAGCCATGAAATAGCATCAGTTCTTTGTTGTGGTGCTCTTTGTTTTAAAGGCTTGTAATGATTGAGTCCTTACTTTCTTCACAATTTGAATTCTGCCCATTTAGGAGTCGCAGTTTTTGCAAACGTTCATGTCTGGCGAAGCTAGCATCTTTTCCTGCTGTTATTTTCTGGATGAAATATGATTCATGCAAATTCTTATAAAAAAAATTTTCTCGAAGGATTGTTTTGTAAATAAATTGTCAAGAGTATTTAATCTGGATGATACGCTATAATTTGACATAATTATGTTAGTCAATGCATTTCGTTTGGCAAAGTCAACTCAGCATCTTGAATTGACAGAGTCAAAATTATTGATTCCATGTAAAGAAAGAATATAATAATTGATATGCATCTGATATTAGAATTTTTACCATTAACAATCTTATTGAAATAATTCGAAATAGCTAATATCGTTCGTACACGTGACACTTCATAGTCCTATTAGCTATGTAGGTACTAGTTATGATTTACACCTTAACTGCTACCTTAACAATCCTATTACCAGATTTAACTATTTTTATTTGCACTAGTACTTGTAGTGCTTGTAAAGCACTCTTCCTTCATGTACAGTAACTGATCGTTATTTAATTTCTTCTGTTAATGTTGACCAAAAATTTCCACTGACTTTGAAATTATAACTTGTGTTTTTATGCAACATGTGAAACATTGGAATTACATATAAATGTCTCATTTACATCGTACTCAACATGTCACTTCTTAATGTAAAAAATAACTAGCTCGATATGGTTACCAGCAATTAGTTTGAGTGGTCAGCGTATATATGTCTCCACTTAAAGAAGTCGTGATTTTTTCACTGACTCACGTATAATGTAAAAAACTTTGGCCACTTTTTTGCCTCCACTTGCTTACAGCTAAAAAATAACCGTAGTCTGTATGATTTAGCAAAAGGTTTGTATACAAAAGATTTGTACTTCCATTTGTTACAGAGTTTGTTTGAAATTTTAAATATTGATTAGTTCAAATCAAATATCAAAATTCAAGACAATTATTTATAATTTCTTCATGTAAATAAATAATAGAGAATTATGTAATTTAAGACAATTATATAATAAGCAAAATTTAAGGCAATCATCTATGTTTTTAATTTATCATAAAATCTATTAGGAAATGTTCAAAAGCAACAAATAAAATGAAAATGTTCACCTGATACACATTTTTATATTAGACATAAAGTTGTTTATTGTATTGTACAAATTTTAGAACAATTTATCGTAAAACATTAGATTCCGACGAATGTCAGTCTTCTCCTTGTAGCAAAGAACACTAGTGCGTAAATATCCCAGGATCATACGAAAGCCTATGGTCCGATGGACACATAATTTTCAAATCCAAAAAGAAATGTTTCGGTAAGTTGGTCTTTCTTCATCTTAAATTATATGTTGCAAGCTTACCCGTTTAAATAAAAGTTCTCTAGAATAGACAAATTCATAATGTCATTATGGTTATTAAGAAAATAACATCTACCAATTGTCTTCATAGTCCTCTATGAAATAGTGTTGGTATTAGTACTACACTACATTCCAGAAAAACTTTGCTAAAAGGTCTTTTCATCATATTGCTAATAAAAAGGATCAAAACAAACTTTGCTCCATTTCATGGGTTGTTATTGGAGTGACCGACCCCTGACTGTTTCTTTATACTCACTATCCACGGTGGATAACGTTTTTTTAGTGTCAGGGATATTATTTTTTAAAAATATTGGTAAAATTTGGTAAATAATTTCAAAAATTAACAATCACACAGAAAACTATGTTGCGTTTCATAAACAAAACAGGAAAGCATCAGTATGTTTGGTGTTAAAGTCAGTGTTTGCAATTACGGCTTTCTTTGATGAACAAATTAATCATTTCGTTGTTATAAAACGTTGTTATTAATACACGCCACATCATTTTTTGTTACAACGTGAGTTTACGTTATAAACTTATTTTATGGCTCACACAAAGTTGATCTTTATTTTATTCTATTTACGAAGACGATGTTTACTTGATCCTTCGTCAGCATTTTCAGCCATTTAAGCCTCCGTCGTCTTTGTTCGTTTGGGATTGGTAACAAAAACTAAAAGTTTGTACACATTTAAACTGACATTGTAATCCTATTAATTTTAACTTTATAATGCAGAATATCAAGAGAAACTTACGTACATCTGTGCACTCTTTTCTTCACTAAAGCAACTTAGTTTAACCTCAACTAAACTTTATGCTATAATTTTCACAAGATATGCTCTGTTCGACTTTCCTTCAGCCACACCTCAAATCCTCGTGTCGCAGCAATGTCGAATTTATATGTGCTGACATAAAGTTATCCAAACGTATGAATATTTGCATATTACGTCAATGCGAAAGACGAAAGGAAAAACTTCCTGTTACAGGCTGATAATTATCTTAGAACGCGATGAAAGAAAGGCGTTGTGTAATATTATGGAAAGAATGACAATCAACGTTGAATAAGGGTTGCTGCATTTTTTCAAAAAAAGTAGAAGTGCTTTTACAACAGTGATTTTAAAATACGTTCCCTCAGACTAGTTAAAATATACAAAGCAGATTAAATTTTTTGTCTTCTTTGCTTAGCTTGCGATATAACATGACAATGCAAGTCTGTAATTGTTTACCGTGTTTAAATTTAAGCTTTGCGCCATATTAAAATATTTATTTTTACCATAGATGTAGTAGTCATATGTACGTACATATTATATCTGTGCGCGTTGGGCCATCATGATTATTAAATATGGCGGCGTCAACAGGGCAAAAGATATAGAGATTGTATTACAAAAATTAGGTTTTTTGCAGTTCTTGCCATTGTATTGTATCGAAACTTATCCAATCAATGTTTATTGAAAAAGGAACATACAGCGATTTTTTTAAGCATGTATTTGAGTGTATTCAATAAAAACTCGCGAAGTTATCCACCGATAACAGTTTGTGTAAAATGGTCACTTGGTCAGTTCCTGCGTTTATTGCCAGAAATATTGTACTTTGTTGACATCTAGCTTTTTCAACTTGAGTAGTGTATCATGCTCCTAAAGCAGAACATTCAGATAATTTTACTGGTTCATTTGTCTGCATCGATTTAACATAAACCATTTGCTAATCAGTTCAGTAAAGTTCCAATCAATAAATTGTGAATACGAGGAAACGGATTTTTCATAAGAAATTGGTCGTACAGCTGTCGTAAAAATGCAATGGATAAAAGTCATATTACAAAGCGCAGTTTAAATACAGATTGCCTTTAAAATACTTGCACTGACTTTTCCTTTGCATGCATATTTAATCAGTTTGTATCAGTTTCCTTTTCTTTTGATGAAACAACAGCAACACACACCTCTCAATAACGTCCATAGATTGCTTTGTGATGTTTTCTTCTGACGATGTAATTGTTGGGTTCAATAGTCCGTTGAGGATGAATTAATTTCCAGACATCCAATGCAGTTTTCTTTTGTCGCACCCTCCAAAATAAGACACTGTGTCACACTCAGTTAATGGATGGAATAATAGCTGGCTTAAAGATCTATCGACGCTAGGAAAGCTTGCTATGTCGTATACTGGGACATTTTTGAATTTTCTTTTCCGAGCCATAAATTATTCAAAGTTTGTCGAAATCGATAACATTCTCCAGTGAATCTATATTGAATAGAAGATAAGATATTCCGTAGAATATCAACTTTATTTGTTGTCTTAAGCTGTTTCGGTATGTAGAAGAGAAAGTCGGTGGCAATGTATTCTTCAAATGTTCATAAAGGTATTGGCGGAAGCATTTTTTCGATAGCAGCACTATAAACCACCTTGTGACATTCAGTACAAAGTATAGTTGCATAGGTTGGTTTTGTAGAAAGTCACTCTTTGAAGTATCTCCTACTTTGCTGGCAAAGTATGAACGCGAAACCAAAAAAACAGTCAATCTTAAACTAAGGAGTTTTGGCCTTATTTTTCAAATAGATTTCTTAGTGTGTTTGTTGTTCAGTTATTTTTCTGCATCAGATCTGTGATTGCATGGTTTGAAGAGAAGTCAATAGATTGAGTGACATTTAAATATCCACAGAAAAGGACATTAGCAACGAATTCTTTGTAATAAATAGTTAACATTGCTACATGGCAACATATTTTAGTAAAATGACCTCTGTCAACTAGTGAAAGTTTAACTCTGTAATATATCAAAAACTATTCGGTTGAACAATAGCAAAATTATACTGAAATTTCTTACTTTGCAGACATCCATACATTGTAAATATAGTCAATTGGAAATTTACAAAATAGCTTTTCAGCTGCCAGAAGAAAAAACTAATTTATTCTCCCGCACAAACAATTTTTAAAATTTAAATATTAAAGCAACAGGTAAAGCGTTTGTATTATGCTGCGTAAAAGCAAGAAAAATATTATAAGGCATCATGCGAAGAGAATTCTCTAAAGTATTTTTGGATGTATGTTAAAGCATAAAAGATGAATAAATTGGGCTCATTGATACTTGACGAAGCAAAATTTATTAGAAACCTGATGAATAAAGTACAATCTCTAAAAAGGCGTGTTACAGCCACATCCCATTTTTGTCCTTATTTTGTCCGTTGAAATGAACTAAATTTGTTAAAAACATTAGAAATTAAAGTCATGTGAAATGTGATGTATAGAGATGATTACCTAAGAAACTAACGTTGTTTGAATATGATGTACTTTGGAAAGTTTTATGTTAGGTTAAGTAAAATGGGGGTAAATTATATCATAATGAGCTATAAAATTAAACAAAATTTGATTATAGACAATACTCCTTTTTTGCTTTATAGTATTTTATCTATGAACAAAAACTAACATCTGCAGTGCACATTTTTCTTTTAGTTTATAGAGACACTTGAAATAGTTGACCAATTTGAATAACGTCAAAATTAACATATTTCTTCCCGGGGTGTTGTTATAAGGAATTAAAATAATTTGGTCTGTTATTTTCAATGTAAATGGTATTTCTTCGAATTGTTGAAACAATATTTTAATTGCATATTTTTCTGACAATAAATTTCTGCAATTACGGATCTTTATCAAAAATCATCAAAATTTGTGTCCCCGTCCACAGAAAAGTACTTGTGTTGTGTTGATATCAAATTTCAAAAAGCAAATATTACTAGCACTTTAGGACAAGACAGTTTCTGCTTCAGTTATATTTTTTCTAAGCTGCTGTTTGAGAAGAATAGAAAAAAACTCGTCAGAATTCAAAAGAAAAATTTCATTGATAGCCAAATTGCCTCTTCAATGGTAAGTAATGAAAACATAAAGAAAACCTAAAATTCATAGCCTATCAACAAAATTTAAGAACAATAGCTCTTTTGGATGAAACTTCCTTATCAAGACCATACATTTCATTTATCATTGTCATGCTTATACGCAATCCAACAGATAATCTAACACAATCTTTATCTTATAAAATACTTAAAGCATTATGAAACATTTTTGTATGTTTGTTTTAAACATTTTCTGTAGTTAAGAGTAGCGCAGCCATGCATCATGTACAGGGGCGGATCTAGGATTTTTCAAACATCAGTCATAAAACGTCGGAGGCGCTCCGCACCTGGGAGGGTCTGAGGCTATCTCTTCTGAGAAATTTTGAATTTCAGAGCCTTAAAAATGCCATTTTCAGAGTTTTAGAGCATTACAAAATGTATTTTGTGGGCATCGTTTTTGCGTAAAAACAACACATTTTGCTAACGTTTTTTTCAAAAAAAATAATGAAGTGAACAATACTTGAATGTTTTGCCAAATATTTAGGCTCATTATCATGCCAAATATATGGCTCATTAGCATGTCTAGGAACGTAAAAGTTATTTTACAATAATGCTATATTCAAAAACAGATATATCCTTTAAAAATTTCTACCAAGTTGTCAGGCATAGACCCCCCTAGAGACCCCCATTCAAACCTCTATGTAATGAGTTAAGTTAGAAATTTGGTACTACAAGTGACAGTTCATAGATATAGAAAAGCTCAGACTTCAAACCATGCAAGTTTATTGTAACCCTTTTTCCATCTCCACATCAGTATTAGCAAATTCACCTTTTGAGAAAAAACTCAAATTTTTTTTCCTGCCAAAGATTAAGCAAAAATTATCAGAGTGAAAATTTGCAGTTAAGGACAGCTTAATGCCATAAATGTTTATTAGGCATTTCACTTGACTATTATCTTCTTCAAGGTGTGCTATATAGCAATCACTAGTAGCATTGTATTATCAAATACAAACAGAATGTAACCAACATGTCTTTAATTATATAATTACATGAATGTTAAAATTGGTTCATGTGTCATGCTTACTGGTTATGATAAATATTTTTTCATATGATCAAAGCTCGTTTAAATGTAAATCTGAAATAATTTAGTTTAGAAATTATAATGATCATCTGAAAAATTACCTAGTGATCATGAAAAATACTTTGCTGTTTTGCCAAATTTCAAGGTTTATCTGCATACATAGGAAGACATTTTTACTTTATAGAAAATGCTTTTCATACATCAATAGTCCTTTCGAATTTATGGCAAACAATCTGGTATGAGCCGTAGATTAACACACTTTTACATCTCTACATGAGGTGTTCAGTTAGAAAAGGGGACAATATGTGACATGGGACAACATTTCATGTATGTGAAATACTAAAGTTTAATACCATTCCAGTCCAATTGTCAAAATAAAAAGCTTCATGGATCAGAAGACTCAAAATCACAGGTTATAGTAAACAGCTTCTCATGTAATCAATGTTCGTTTTCTCAAATCTTAAACAATATGTAGTATAACTGTTCAATGATTGAATGATCAATGATCATAAACTGAAAAGCCCCAAACATTTGTTTATGATAAAGTAAATAATAGTATGGCGCCTTCTGGCTACAGTTTTTTGTCCATTGAAATATATTTGCAGGAATGTAGGATTTCGCTGCCATAACGGTCACGATTCCTAAGCACTAATGAAATTATAGCTAAAAGTCCTTCGGCAACAACAATTTTAGAAGCATCAATCTGCTTACCATGCGCCATATTAACATAAATCGCATCACACACTCGCATAAATTGACTTTGATATATTACATTCATGCATACACTTCAGTTGTCCTTTACTTACGATTTTGGATGTAAATTTCTGCTGATAAAACTCAAAACAATGTTGGCTTGCTTTTGAACATCAATGACTGAAATGTCGCTCGCGAGATCGTCTTTGCCAAGTATTTACAATTCATCCATAAATTTTTCGCCCTCTTGAAAAAATTCCCAGTTTGGAAAGCAGCATTCATGTCAATATATGAATTTGTAAAAGATTTCCATAAATTCCATCTGATTGTAGCTTAGTTTCTATCATGCTTGAGAAAATTATTATGAAACGATCAAACATTCAATTCAGACAATGAGCTTGACTATAAAGTAAATGGTTTGAACCCGGGAGTATCGTTATATGTTTGTAAATGATGATCGTCCAGGTTAATAAAGTCCTGAGAAGGACTGTTTTTGATGTTGTTGACTGACGTTTCGACAACCTTAGCGGTAGTCATCTTCAGAGTCAAATGAGGAGTAAACGTCAGGTTAGCCGTATTTGTTGTCTGGTTCTTACGTCATTGTATTGTGTGTACAGGAAATGTGCAGGAAATGTGTATTGTCATTGTGGATTAGTGTGAAGTGAAATATTTTATTTTTGGTTGTGATGTGTGATTTAGGTGTGACGTTTTTAGTTGTAGTGTGTGGGTGTCAATTGTGTATTGTCATTGTGAATTAGTTTGAAGTGTAATGTTTTTAGTTGATCGTTTGTTTGTATTGTGAATAAGTCGTTTGTAACTAATTCACAATGACAATACACAATTGACAATACACAATTGACACCCACACACTACAACTAAAAACGTCACACCTAAATCACACATCACAACCAAAAATAAAATATTTCACTTCACACTAATCCACAATGACAATACACATTTCCTGCACATTTCCTGTACACACAATACAATGACGTAAGAACCAGACAACAAATACGGCTAACCTGACGTTTACTCCTCATTTGACTCTGAAGATGACTACCGCTAAGGTTGTCGAAACGTCAGTCAACAACATCAAAAACAGTCCTTCTCAGGACTTTATTAACCTGGACGATCATCATTTACAAACATATAGAGCTTGACTATGTTAGTTCAGTTGGCTATCAGTCGAAATAGGTCAAACCAATCACAGTAAGACAAAAATTTAAACGAACCAATTACACGATAGCAAGTGGACTCCCTTATAGGTCCGGCCACCCCGCTTATCGGTCGAAATTATTCCAGATCGTCCACTGATCTGGCTATTGACCAATGAAATAAGCGTTTTTGGCGTTCATAGACTCCTTTATCCGTCGAACCAGTCAAGCCACCCTGCTTATCAGTCGGTTATTCCAGGTCAATTAAAATTCAGCTGATCTGGTTACCAAGGAGATATTCATTGGATTAGTCATTAGTTTTCAATAATAAATAAAGCTGGATTTTTATCACGAAGTAAATGCGATAATAAAGTAAGAATAATTAATGAATTTTTAACTAATATGAATAGGTAATTTTTGAGTTTCAAACATCAGTCGCGCGACGGATTTGACATACTCTAGATCCGCCCCTGATCATGTATACATAGCTGCCATTTGGTAATTTGACTAACTTAAAATTCTTAAAAAATCTTTTACTGTTTCGCAATTCCTTTTATCATTTTATATTTATCCTTATGATGAAAAAGAAAAAAGAATTGATTGATCACAACTAAAGATAAAGTTCTACTTATTTATATTTATGAATGTCTGGAAATATATTACATCATATTTCCAATGATACGCCAGAGAAAATAGTTGCTACATCAAAAATATTTGAAGACACCATCAATAAGTATTTTTGTTCTTAATACAGATAACAAAAAATGTTTTCCTAATATCATAGACATTTAAAAATTATAAAATATTTGCAAAGTGTTTTGCGTTTTTACATTAGAATGATAGTAAACTAAAACTTTAATGCATGTTTGATTAATAGTATTTGGTTAGACATTAAAACTAAGAATTATGATTGAGGGAAATGACAAAGAAAGAGAGGTATATGATTCAACAAATTGAAATGGGGCAAATAATCATCAAACATCAATACAGAAGTCATTTTAAAAAGCAAGGAATGCATGTAAAACAAATGATACATTTTTCGTCTCTTGTTTCTTTTGCTACAATTATTCAATATTGCAAGAATATTTTTGACCAATGGCAAATGACTTTTAATTGTCTAAAACAAAATATTTGAAGAAGTAAGAATTTTTTAA